ATGCGGCTGTTGGTAGACTTTACTCGGGGAAAACCCTAACGCCCAGGTTAATAAGATGGGCTTTAAAACTCCAAGAATATAATATCACAATAAAATATAAACCGGGTAAGGAAAACAATGTAGCTGACGCACTTTCTCGTATAAAACTGGACGATGAAGGCAATGAACTTAAATGCGTTGTGTTGACTTCAAAAATTTTAGATTCTAGAGATACGGTTATTACTGAACTGAAAGCTGATCCTGAATTTGGAAATATCTATGCTTATTTGAAAGACCCTGAAAGCTTGTGAGCACACAGATATCGATGCGATAAGAAATAGAGCAAAAAACTATGAAATAATAGATAATTTATTATTTTATACGAAAACAACAAACGAAAAATCTTGAGTATAAACCAGTCATCCCAGCCTCGCTTCGATTAAGCATTTTGAAGGAGTTGCACGAAGCAAAAAACAGCGGGCCATCTAGGGGTCAGAAAGACTTTAAAAAAGGGTACGCGAGGCGGTATATTTCCCGCAATTATACAAAATAGTAACGGCGTATGTCAGGTCCTGCAATCAATGTCAGTTAATAAATGATATTAATTACAGCCCGGCCGGGTACTTAAATAGCATTCGCGCTACATTTCCGAATGAAATTTTAGGCGTAGATCTTCTTGGTCCCTTCCCCCAGAGCGAGTTAAATAAAAATCATTTTCTTTTAGTAATAGTAGATCATTTTTCAAAATGGACAGAAATTGTTCCACTTAAACGCGCGTCAGCCAAAACAGTCGCAGATGCATTCTTACACAGATACATTTTAAAATACGGTGCACCGATAAAAGTCATTAGCGATAACGGAAAACAATTCATTAGTCAAATATTTGAAAACATATGCAATGGACTTGGCATACGCCATATCAAAATGGTTCCGTATAGACCACAGGCTAACATAGCAGAAAGAGTTAATAAAAATATAGTAAAAATAATTCGCAGTTACGTGAGCACACATCACAAGCGCTGGGATGGCTACATAAATGAATTAGCTTATGCTTTAAGAACGGCAAATCATGATACCACGGGAAAAACTCCAGCAGAATTATTCTTAGGCCGAAAATTAATTACGCCTTTAGATAAATTATTCTTTGTGCAACAAAGAGAGCAGGAGTTTAAACAAAAAGATGTGCAAAAGCTGATTGATCAGGGCGCTTAAAACCTCGGATACGGCAAGAATAGAGGCAGAAAATACATTATGATAGAAAACGCCGTGAAGCAGATTTTAAAGTTGGGGATAAAGTATTGAAGCGGAAAAATTTTCTTTATCAAGTGCCCCAGACAATTTTACGGCAAAGCTAGCTCCAAAGTTTGAAGGCCCCTATGTAATTCAGGAAATCAAAGGAGTAGTATTATATCTTAAGAAACGAGAGAGGGGAAATCTGTAAAGCAAGTCCCGACCAGGTGAAAAAATACTATAATCCAAATGATTTTGAAATCCTTAAAGTTTCTTGCAGGACTCAAGTCTAAACGAAGTAGAAGATCCAGAGACAACACAAAACTATTCCACCACCCAAGAAAACAGAGAACTGAAGAGAGACCTAGCCCTTCTACAACCCGGGACGTCGGTATCAAAAAGAAAAAATAATTTTCAAACTCCCGCGTTTAAGAAAAACAAAAATACAGATGAACCGTGTAAAGAAACCGTGGTAAAGAGAAAAACACCACCTACAAAGGATTGCAGGAAAAATTATACATCAAGGAGAACGCGCACACGGCCACAGAGTCAGGTGCCAGCAAGGCCGCCGTTCCGGAAACTGAAACGGCAAGAGGAGGCACAAAAATACGAGGAACAGAAGAAATTCAAGAAGGACTCCAGACCGGAGGACGTCAAGACCAGCCGTCCCAGGGATAAACGGAAATGCCAACAACCAGACGATTACTCCGCCAAGAGGCCAGCATGTAGAGGACGCAAAAGAAAAAGTAATGTGGACGACACTCGGAGGTCAGTAAGGAGAAGATTAACATCCATGAAACCTCTAACTTGGGACCAATTTTGCCAAAAACGAATGACGGAGTTTCAAGCATCGAAAACTCAAAGATAAGTTAAAAACCTTCTATAATTTTTTTTCTCTTTTGTTCCGAAATGTTATGCATAAGCACGAAGTTCTATGTTTTGACGAAAGTCAATATGTCTCGGTTGAGACTTAGTTTTGTTTTACTTTTAGCTAAGGCAAAAGTATTATTTTCTTTAAGTGTAAAAGCTAAAAACAAGCATTTTCTGTTGGTCGAAAGACTAATTCTGTTATGTTAAAGCCAAAAATTTGGCCGAAGATAAAAATAACTTCGTGTTCTTGTATTAATAAGAATTTAGTTTCAGTGCCGCCAGCTTGGCGAAGATTGAGTAAAGTAAAAATTTATTTTCTCTTATTCATTTTATGGTAAATTGTAAAAATCATATGTATTTAAAATTTTGTAAATGTACGTAAATACTTGAATGTTATGTAAAAGTAGAATTTAGTCTAGAAGCATAAAATTGTAGATGCTAAAAGTGAATGCTTAAAAGCAATGAAGTCAAAATTTAAGTATTAAACTGTAAAGTCATGCTTTAGAGCGAAAGCCTGCATGTTTAAAGATGAATGAGGGGGAGTTAGAATGAATGTGTTTTGTAGGGTTCTCCACATACATTTGAATTTTTAAGAATATTAAAGTAGCTCATTGAGTTGTAGAATGTCGAGTAAGGTGTGTCTATTTGGTCGTTGAATTCTAACAAAAATCATGGTGGTTAGGGGAAGTGTTGTAAGACTAAAACACGAATATTCCCGTTTGACACCACACACGGTGGAGAGAGCCAGGGTAAAGTTAAATTTAATGCTTGAAAAATTGAATGAATGTGAAGTAAGGCAATAACTAAGAAAATCGAATCATTTAAAAACAAAAATTTATTGTGTCAAGAAAGTGTAAATTATAATGTATTTAGAAAGATACTGATACTTATTCCTTCCAGATGCTGGAAGGAAAGACCAAGATTGATTGATGAAGTCAAGGAAAAGTTGCTGTAAGAAGAGAGCTTTATAACGAGCAACAGAATTTTAGTATACAATTTGTTACATAAGATTTTTTTTGTGTAAACGAGGTTCTCGCCAGTTAGTTCAGAATTAGAGAAACTTACAACAGGTCGTTTGTAGGACCTGCTTCCAAGTTTTCCAAATTCTGTCAGCGGCAAATGTAGGGTTTATATTTATTTTAACTAACATTTATTTTAAGTTTAAACTATCTTTCCTGTCAAGCCTTACTTTCCCCTGGAACTGCCAATGCCAGAATATGTAAATTTTAGTAGAACGCGCAAGGATTCAAATTATCAGCGGAAGTATTATGATTTAAATAGAAAGGAAACGAGTTCGGTGTGTGATATTCTTACTTCACGAGCGCGGAGGTAGTTAGCGAGAAATTGAAGAACCCCGCGTTTCGGCCTATGTGCTTGGCGGGAAGTAGTGGTAATCGTTCAAGTGAGCTTCAAGTCTGCTGAATTAGCAGCGGTATTGTAAAACGCGGGGTGAGTTAGTTATTTTAGAGCCTCATAGTTAGAGTCTTGTCTTTAGTTTTTTTTCAGGTTATTATTTTTTTTTTGACCGCCGAGTTTGGCGCAGTCTGTGAGCGTCAAGAGCACGCAATTGTAATTTATTACGTTGAATAAAAAGGGACTTAAACCCTTCACAAGACTCTGTGTTTTATCCAGTTTCCACAGTCACCTCTTGGTTGCGTGCAAGTTGGAGGCGCGCAACGTTACAAGTGGAAAAAAAAAAAGGTAGTTCATATAGTGAGGTCCATTTCCGGTGTGGAGTAAAAATAAATTATTTTTTCCTAAGAGCTTTCAGTCTCAATCATAAGCCTTATAACAGAAAAGAATTATCTCCCTCTTTTTAGCAGTTAGAAGAAATTGCTTTCAAGCGGCACAATCTAAAGGGACAGAGTTAGTTAAAATTGAATGAAATTATTTTTAAGAATAATTTAGAATCAAATAGCAACGAAATTTCTGAAATTATTCTACGTTTGAAAGACGTCAAATATATTTTTAAAGTTTCTTCAGGTAAAGGCGCTTCAGCTAATTTCTGCAATCATACTGACAGAAAGCAAACAGAAAAAAGGATATGTTCATAGTAAGGAGAAAAGTAATTAGAAGATCCAATAAATAAAGAAAAAGTGTATCTTAAATTTTATTTCTAAGTCTAAAACTGAAAAATCAAATAATTGTTGACTGGAAAAGAGTAACTTGTTAGTCCAAAGGGAATTGAATCCCGAAGGACTATTAGTTTCGTTTTGGCATTTTGCATCGGACTCATAAATGTCGGTTCACTTTTCAAACTGTTGCCATAAAAATGTTAGAGTCCTGCATTATATTTGAAGAAATTAAATAATGAAAAATCTGCGTAAAATGTATGTATATTTCTCGTATTGTGATAAAACAACGGTACATAGAGTCATCGAATTTTGAATAACGTAATCCTCCAACGAATATGAGCATGTGGAAGACCAAATTTGAAATTTGAAATTTGTTTTATGATCGATTTCCTATTTTTTAAAACTTTGACGAATTTTTGATTAACAAACTCAAGGATTTCAAAGCGAGCAATGGCAACGTTGTGGCAGAAAAAAAAAACATTTTTATCTCCAGCGCGTGAGTCTGTCTCTGTATCGGAAATTCTAAAGATATGCTCGTTTTAAAACTATTTTGCGATATTGCTGTTGCACTGGATCTTATGGTTTAAGTGCGAGGAACATGATATTTAATAAAGAAAGTAACACAAAAAATGTTAAAAAAACGCCCCTTTGGACGTAATTTAAAATCTGAAACATTTCAGAATTTTTTTTTTTTTTTTTGTTTTGTTTTTCATAAAATATATAATTTTTACGTAGTAATTAATCAAATAATATCGTATTTAACTGTTATATTGTAAAGCATTAATTAAACATGTTAACTGAAAATGTCTATTTGGGGGGGAGGAAGAACTTTATTTCTTATCTACATTTTTTTTTTTTTTTTTAATTCTTCTCCTCCTCCTCTACGAATTTGAAGCCAAAGTGAAGGTTGAAAATGCTTTCTTTTTTCCTGGAGTGGAAGTTTGCTTAAAAGCTCAATGCGTATATTAATGTAAACTCTTTCAAGGAAGCTAGACAGATTCTAAAAGTACTTTTGCAATGGTGTGCGATTAAAACTCATAATTTCATTAAATTATTCATCTATCTCTAAAGATTTGGATACATGTGTGTCTTTCTCAAATGCTTTTTGTTATTCCGTTTTGAAAGGATTTTGATTTAAACGATGACATCATCCGAATAAAGCAAAATTGAGAATTCAAACACTCTTCCTTTTTTACTTCTTTGCTCTTAAAGTGAAGAAGGAATATAAGATAATATTATTTATAACTAATGCTGTATCAGTATGAAGAGAAATACAAAACTGTCAGCAGCAGTAAATATTTTTGATTTTAGGAATCTTTTAAGAAAGAAATCACAAAGATTATTATAAAGCAAAGCATTTTAGGATTGCTAATCAGTGGTACTGAGCTGCGTCGTTAGCCTTTACCGACAGCTGCTGGAGGTCTAGTGTGACAGCTACCATCGTAGAAAGTGACATCATCCAGAGCAAAGCCGCCGTCCGAAGATTCACCTTCGAAATGTAGGAGATAATCACCCTTCGCTTCAACACTTACTTGAGCATAGCTCCATTCTGTTCTGCTGGCGTTTGCGAAGTTTCTTGCTTCAAGTCTCCAAATGACTGTTTTCTTGATGCTTTCAGGATCCGACATATCCAAAAGAATAACCTATTAACATAAAATTAGGAGTTGGCAATTGTTGTATTATAAAGAATTCTTCGTAATTATCAATATTCATGAGCTATAATGAATGAGCTCAATATTCATGAGTAGACAACATTAAAATAAATAGAACCTAGTTTACAATGCTGTTTAGTTTATTCATACACATTTGTTATAGAGATAATGAATACAGAAGATGAATGAGAGCATGAATATTAATACACAATTGTTATAGAGATAATGAATACAGAAGATGAATGAGAGCATGAATATTAAAACTGAGTAAAACTCAGCTTTAGATCGTGATAATGTTTCGGAAAATCGTTGTGCCATACGGCAGAAGCTAACACAGATCTTCCTTCTTCAGAAAGTATTTTGCCAAAATTATATTTTTTTAATAATTTTTGGCTAAATAATTTATATTTTCAAAAGAAGTACTTGCATGTTTCTTTTCAAACGCTTTGATCTTCTCTATCACTTTAACGGATAAGTTAAAATTTTTCAGTTTTGATCACACAGAATTTCAGATTTTATGCATCATGTTCAATGAAAGAGAGAAAAACAGCAAATTAGGAATCTTAAAATGTAATAGGTCATGAATTTATTACTAAGATCGATGTTCAAAATCCTGTCCCATTTAATTTATCCTTTTATAAACAAGAGAAAAATATAACTTAATTTTCTAACTTTAGAATCATGGTTTAACTTTAAAATCAAAAATAGCTGGTAAATGTTTCACAGCATCAATTTTTAACTTAATGTTTTTAATGCTTAAAAAATTAATTTACAGCCTTAAAAAGAGGATTTTCTTGTTTTGATTCTTTCTTGTTAATAACTACAGAAAGTTTGAAATCCTCATATTCTCCGCTCCCATTTGCTTCCGTTATTAAAAAAATTTCATATCCTTCAATAGATGCAATCGATTTTACCGATTTCAATGTTTATCTCGCACGACACTGCATGTTAAATTCTATTTTCACCGAGTCTTCTTTGGACATTTTTAAGCTAAACCTAAATCTTTCGTAGAGAGCTATGTGTGCTTCTTTCCTTATGTCATCAATATCTTATTTAAATTTTAAATGCCTTGATTTAATATTATATTTTTATTGCAATTTCAGGTTTTTTGAGCTATATTGGAACTGTGTTGAAACTTTCTAACATTATCTTGAATCATGACTTATTATAAGTCGGCCAAAAGATCAGAAAATAAACTGAAGCGCAATGTCGTAAATTGAGTCATAAATGCGCCCTTAAATGGATGTGTTTTAAAAACAATGCACTTAAAAAGGTTGCTTTTGCTGTTAAAAATGACCTTGGAGTCCTTCCAACATTTTTCGATTTTTTTCTTATGTCAAGCCACTATAAATATATTATATACTACCTTTGACAAGTGCTGTTACAGCGCGAAACACAATTATTTTATCTTCCACGTGCATAAACTCTTCTTGGGGAGCTGCTATTTGGTAAAACATAAGAGAATTTTAATTTATCTTCGAATTTAATCAAACTGTATTTTATAAACATCATCAGCAATTTAAAAGTAATAAACTCATTTCTTAGCAGATTAAAATTTTATTTTATTTTAAATAATATATCTAGCTAATATAAATTAAAATACATGATTCTAATTAACAACAAAATGTTACTAGCGATTTATATGTCATACTTACTATGGAATTATTTGATTAAATTTTTGTCTTTTAATTGTATCTCAAAACATAATATTTATATTAATACTAATTTTTAAAGACATATTAGTTTCAGAATTTATTACATTAAAGAATACTTTTGATGATATTTCGTTGTGAAGACTGAAGGAATCTTTAATTTTCACTGAATAGTGATATAAGGGAAGAACAGCTCACTAACCTGTAATTCTAACAAATCAACAAACATTTGCACTGTTTAATTAGCAAAAAATGCCCTTCCATCTAAAAAAGTAGATTAGTATACCCGCTGCCCCTAACTTTGTTTGTATGAATTCTTGACGTCTAGGGAACTGAAAAGCAAATATTAGATATTATACCTACACTTTCAAATAAAATAAAATTTCAGCATTCTTAAATTTATCGTTTACAATAATGCTCTATACATTAATTTATTTATCTTATGTTCAAATTAGTACTAATAAAATAAGCTTCGTATTTGTCGAAAGGTTTTGAACGCATCATATTTCATTAAAATAAAAAGTCAAGTAAAAACAAAAAATACACATTTTTTAATGTCTATGATAAAATGCATATTACAAAATTATCCATGTATATCATAAAATTTTGAATGAAATTCTCTAGACAGCAATTCTTTCTGAAAAAAAAAATACTTTTCTGGGAGATAAAATATTATTTTACTATTGATAGCCATAGCATAAATATTTCTAAAAGCAAGCATTTTCTACATTTGCAATAGTTACTATTTACAGTTTTCGTTTATTACGCTCCTTACCTCTAAAGCTGTTGCCTCGCTTCGCCCAAATGCTACGAACCAAAATCCAAGACATCGGACTCCACTCAAGCTCAATTCCAGCAAAGGACTCCTTAATTTTGGTCTTTGCATCTCATTCTTATTAAAAACATCAAAAAACACATATCCTGCAGGAGATCGGAACGTGTGATCAAGTAATCCTGCTGGCTTGTTATCTGGTCTAGCCATTTTCCATGGACTTTCCTCTACGGTGTTGGCTGTTTTGGGTTCTGTGGTAGGAGCCATCGTTGAAACTTCGTCATCGAAATCAGAAATCGGAGTCCAGCCACACATATCTCTTTCAAAAAAGCATTCTCCCATCACTGCAGCAGCACCAAAGGGTTCAGTTGTACAGTCGCCGTCGAAAAACGTGATGTCATCAATTGCTATATTGCCCACTCGTCCTTCGCCCCACACACCTTCAAAGATTATTTCATATTCCGTTTGAGGTGGTGCTCTTTCATTGGCTGTGACTATAGGTGCTCGGCCAGAAAACCATCTTTCACCCTGATGATTGTGCAGTCTCCATAAAGGAGATAATGGCTTTCCTGGCTTCATCAGACGAACGAATACCCTAAGACTTCCTAAACTTAGTCCAGCAGGATCAATAAGTCTTTCATACATCCAATAATAGAAAGACACACATCTTGGATTAGGAGTTGGTTGGAATCGAGAACTTACTAGCCATGCTCTAGTGCCACCTTTCAGAATGAGAGGCCTGTCAGAAAGCAAGTTCATGTAACTGCCCTTCGCATCGCCTCTGGTGTGATCGATAGAAGGGCCTCTTTGGTCGATGAAATACTCTCTCGCCCAGTCGGTATCATCGAGACCATCCTATAAAGATATCACAAGGAAAGGTTACATGTGAAAAATGATCCGAACAAAGATTCTGAAACTTAAAAGTCTGTATAGAATTTGATATTTTATAGCATCCATCTTAAGTGAATTTTCATCTTAAAAAAAAAAAAAAAAAAAAAAAAAAAGAAATAAGGAGTTTTGGTTGGAAGTGAGCAAAGACAGGTCTTAATATGAAATAGAAATTTAAAAGATAAAGGCAATCCAGAGTAGCCATATTTATTTTAAAGCATATTAACAATATGTTGTAAGTTTTAATCAATAACAACATACATGTGAAAAAGGGGGCCAAGTTAAGGAGAAACAACTTTCGATGTTGTCGGTGTAATCGACAAAAGAGTTGAGATATAACGGAGGGCAAGTTCCAGATCAGTTCCTTTAATCATAGCTGCAGGAATGTACAACGTTCGTCAATTCATTTAAAAAACAATTTATTACTTTCTTTGATATCGGATTTCTAACTTGGCAAGCTTTAATTGTTAATAAATTACATTAAAAAATATTGACTTCTCCAATTAGAAATTAACTAATAAACTAATAAAATTGAAATGTTTAGTTATAAAAAGCATAAAACTTCCGTATGTTGGACGACCAAAAGGTTTACAGAAAGTGAGTAATCAGATATTTTTTCCATTTTTCAATATAATTCCTTTCTGTGACAAATTATTTCTATCAGCGTTTCTGCAGTGGGCTATCTCCTGAAGTAAAAACTGTATTTCGTACTCTAGAAAGTAGTCATCGTTCATGGCATTCATATTCCACATAAAATTCGTTAAAGTTCTTTCGTTATATTTTTAAATAACAAAATGCCACATGAAGCAGTTGTGGGGATGTAGGTAACACATGGAATATTGCAGCACATGAAGCATGGAAAAGGCCACATGAAGCAATTATGGAGGTATAGGTAACACTAGGCCTCTTACAGCAATTAGAGCTCACTACCTTATAAAATGTGCACTGTGACCGTTATTTCGATAGTTTTGTCCTTCTTTTGCTCTTAATGTTTTGGCTCACTTTTGCTATTAACAATGCATAATACTCCTTTGGAATTGTTTTCAAACATTAAAATATCAACAGCTTTTCCGCATCTGAGAAAACACTTATAACTTTGTTTTGTGATGCTAACAACACTAAACTTATAAGAGGCGTGTTCCCAAGCTATGCTGTATTATCTCAGGATTGAAACACCTATTTTTCATGCATGGTCAGATATCAATACAAAAAACAAAAACAAAAAAATTCTCCTGCATCCAACAGTGTACCTATAAAGAAAAGTGTTTTCCTTTTTAATGAAGCGGTTCCCATTGTAAAACAGGCAAGATATCTTGGGATTATTCATAAATGATAACTTCTTGGAAACAGCACATTCAGATAAGGGATATAAGGTTTAAAGTTATGAAGGCTTACTCCTATCATCGGGAAGTACTCAAGCTCACCCTGGTAAAAAAAGACTATTTATCTGGCTACAATTCGACTATATGTCACATGCTTTCCCTGCTGGGACGTCTGCCACTAAAGTGACAAAAAAAACTGCAAATAGTACAAAACCGTTTCTCAGGATTTCACAAATGCTCTCCAATGTAAAAAACAGCGTCTCACGAGGATCTAAAGCTTGACGCTATCGAGGAATTTCTTAGGAAGTTAATACTTCTTTCTATGACTCTGCTACGCAGTGCGAACAAGAGCATATTCATTTATCCACATGAAATCTTGCAAAGGGACGACATTAAGACCTTACGCTACAGTTCTCCTTAGTTTAAAACCAAGATTTCCCAACTTAAGTGACTTTGAACTATGATTCTTTCAAAAATTCTGTAAATAGTTACGTAATCTGATAAATCATGCTTCAGACTAAGAGGTCAGCACCCGGGAGGGTGACTACCCATATGACACATTATGCACCCCCTAGAATGTAAATATTTATTGTACACATTCCTGTATATTTGAACTTGAATATATTTAGTCATCATTAGGATGCAACTCACTATTTATTACTGTGGTTTGTCTATACGTGAATTTTTCGGTATAGTACGATTTTCAGTCACCTGATGTCTCAAGCTCATCACGTGGAACTGGCCACGCCACTAGTACCTGATATGCTTCCCGAGACTACTTTCAGCATTTCCCTACCTGCATCGCTCATCGAAGCATCAAACTGAGACAGCCGGAAAACAACCTGCATTCTTTGCAGGTTAATCGCGGCATACAGAGAAAGTTGGAGTTGGATTCCTGGATCCAACTGAAACATTGTCAGATGTGACCCTGCAATTCTCGCACAATCCGTTTTCTATGCCTTCGTTAACAATTTGGGTATCCATCAAATTGAAATACTTTTCATGATCAGATTTTTCATAAAATTGTTCGTACGCTACCAAATGAAATACACGTAGTTTTAGCTACATGCATAATAGACACTCGTCTGTCTAATATCACTTTTTCTTTTTTAATTTTCGCAATAATTGCCTCTATAATTGATGTGGAGAGACGACCAAAGCATGGATCGCATTCACAAGAAATTTTCCAGTAGCGAAATGTTTTTATCATCTTTCGAATATGGGCTGATATAATTCAGATTTTCTCTGTTTTAAAAAGAAAACAGTAAGTTATAGATATTCAAATTTGTCATTCAAACGTAGAGTTACTTCTAAATCTGCTTACTTTTATTCCCTTTTCTAAGAACTCTTTGATCACCTCTCATAGTTAATCACTATTGGTCGGTTAATCATTCTTTCACCATTTTATGCTAGATTTAAGTTTTTGATTTAGGTTTACTTTTCAAATTTATGGCATTTACAGAAATTAAGAATTATCCGCTCTTCTCTATCAACATTATTATATTAAAATAACTTGCGTCATGATATTCCCTTCTGTTTCCTCTTCTTTTTTACTTATAGTTTTACTCAGTAACAGGTACTATGCATCTGCTGCGTTTAAGTCAATTAGGCAATCTAATCAAGTGGATATTCTTGATTATGACAAAATATCTCAGTTTTGCTTTCGAAATATATAGCAAATATTTGGCAATATATTACTATAATTTACTTATTTGCACAGGTGTTCATGACATATATTTATTAACTAGCTCTTTGATAATGGTGCTTATTCACAGATTCACACCTCTTCACAGATTCACACCTCGCTTCCACTAGCATTGTGTTGAAATGATACGAAAGCAATATCTATTGAATTTAATATAGAGAAATTCAATTTTAAGATTTCAAATTCAATCTGTTACTTTAATTTTTACATTTTTTGTACACTTCTAGTAATTTCTTTCCTGCATGCTTAAATTATGTGTCACTCTTCTCAATTAATATTTTGAAATCATAAAACAGAAGTATTTCAGTAAGCAAATGACTGTCAATCAAGTAAGTTAGATAATTTTACTCGATCAGTTCAACGGAAACATGGCTGTACCCCGTGCATAAAATATTTTGGGCTTCAGGAATTTTTTAAAAAAAAGTGACTTTTAAACTTTATAATCACTGAGTTCTCTCTCAACAAGCAGGAAAACCGCATGAAGTGATAAAAGTGTCTGATTGAAAATTTCTATGCCAAATTAAAAAACTGATTGGGGGTAAGGGGGTATGGGGTCCGGATATCATTGTTAAAAAAAGTGATTTCTTTTCAGTTTGCCCAACTGTATATTTCCTCTTTAAATCTTCCTTTAAGTTTTTCCAGTTGTTGAAAAACAGTAATTGCAATCAATATTCTGAGTTTTCTTCTTAAATTCTCAATAGATTATGAATTGTATATCCCACTAAACATTCAGTATAACCTATTTAGGGCGTGTATCTAACTTTGCAGTTCATCCTGAAGATTGAAATCTACTTTAAATGTTAATACACTACTCTCTATTGTACTTTGAAAACTGATAACTTCAATTTCTTCGACGTACTACCTGCCATCAACAGGGCAGTGATTAGTGGAAGTTGACTTTAATCCGAAATCAGCGGTATGGGTTCGACTGCCTTGTGAAGATTGGCTAGGTGTGCTGTCATTCCCCTTTCTATCTTCACAAGTGTTAGCATCGAACGTTTCACCTTCGTTCATGTTCTTGGCGATGAGATGGCTAAATTAACGGTGGATTCGGGCCATTCCTGTGAAATGTCGACAGTAAGACTAGATCTAGTAACCAACTACACAGCCATTTGGGGGGGGGGGGGATTCTTTATTCTGTTTGCACAATGGACCCACTTTCAGACATCAGTGATAACATGACCCAAACACATATCTTCTTTTCTATACATACATATCTGATATAAGCTGCCCAGATGGTATAGTTGTTACGTTGTTAGGGGAGCCAACTGCGATACCAAAAGGCCTGAGTTCGAATCCCGGAGAAGGCATGGTTTTAACTGTCCGTACCTGCATAGGAGGCAAAGGTGGCCCACCTATTAGGCGCCTCCATAATAGAGAGACCACTACTTCCAGTTTTAGTAGTGGCTAAGCCGAAGTCGTCTGAAGGCACGCCATTGGTAAGAAAGAAAGAAAATATCTAAAATAAAACTTATGCTAATACAAGGTCCTTCAGTATTTAAAATGGCCCTTACGGTATTTTTGTGAGAATGTAACCTAATAGGTGGATTCTAATTTCAGCCATATTATAATGTAAAACCCAATCTCTCTTCAGTTTCTTGCCTTAATTAAATAAGAATCCTAATTCAAGATTTATGGCTATCAGATATTTTTTAATAGCAGATGGCCATGCCTCTTAACACTGTCTTTCAACAGTTGTTTCTCTAGATCCAAATTGCGTATCCATCACCTCCTCATCCACGGAGTTTAAAAGCAATACTATCAGTATTGCCTTTAATAAACTCTAAAATTAAACCATTTTTTGTACGCATTTTGTTAACTTCCATATACAGGAATGAATAATGATAATTCTAATAATTCAAATTCATTATCTATTTGAGTCATACATTCGTCATCACTACTTTCATATTCATTGGTGAATGATTGCTTTCTCTTGGTTCAAGGCATCTATGTTCTTATACTTATTAGCACATAAAATAAATAAATATAACAGTTCAGTTATTATTATTTTAATTAAAACGTATGTTTTTATGTAAACAAAATATCAAAGACGACAAAAAATACGATTTTTCTCTAAAGCGTCGGGAGCTTGCTTTCCTGAAGACAGCACTACCAGTACCTTCTACATACAGCACTACCAGTATTGTATGTAGGAGGTACTGGCACTACTGTGACAAGGTCACGCAGATGTTCCTTATCTCACCCTCCAAAGATATAGTTCCCAGACAAAGGGGCTCTTGCAGGGACTTGAAATGCGGTTTGGAGATTGCAACTGTACTTGTTTCTTACGCGAGGGGATATTCTCGCTATGATTTAGCCTATGACAAGCGACGGGGGAGTCGAGGTTTGGACATCGTGCAGCGAGGTTGTCTCAAGACAGCGTAGACGAATACCTCAGTGAGTGTGTACGGGAGTTCGAAATTATCGTCTGCACGTTCAACAAGCTAACTTTTCCAAGCTAGAAAACCGGATGTCCACCGGGAATATTGGAGGTAGCATTGTTCTGCTTGAAGTGTTTTGTTGTGCTAGGAGATTTAGCACGGACTAATCTTTCCGAATATGCTGTTGTTTTAGCACAGTACATTTGTAACCGTTTAGAAGCTATTGGATTAAGTGTTATCCACATATGAGATTGATGTAATCTTAACTTCTTACATTTATATTTTTTATTAAAATTCTCACTATCGTTTTACAACTTGAGTTTGGAGCCATTTCAACCCTGAAATATAACAGAGGATATTGGTAGCGTGTTCGACCACTACACAACACTACAAATGACTTTTTAATCCTAATGTAAAAATAATACTAAAAAGAATTTAAAATAATATAAATTGGTTAAATATGACAAATTTAGTCTTTATTTACATATTACAAAATATTTGAAAGAAAAAAATAGATTTAAAGTTATTTTAGAAAATACAATATATAATGTCGAGTCTAGCTCGACAAAGGAGTTGGTGTAAGAAATACGATGTCGAGCCACACTCGACATAGGAGTCCTAAGGGTTAAGATACAACTAAAAGCAAAACCAGCTGCAATCCAAAAGCAGATGTGTACCACTGGTAAGGAGAAAGACGGTCGAGGATAATTAAAAAATACAAAATAATGCGAATTATATTCTAATTGTGTTCATGCTTTTGCTCAAAAACAAAATCGTATTCGTTCTTTTTGTTATCCAATAGTACTCACCCGTGGATCAGGGTTATTCCAATTACACGTATTCTCTTCAAAACTGCAGTCACCGGAATCTTTAGCAGCTGTTTGTGGTACAACAGGGCACGGACCAGGCTTCACTGCTATGTCATCTATAGCTATATTTCCAAACTGGTTTCCTATGATTAATAAAGATTACATAAAAGCAAGAATTAAACGTTTTCGAAAACATAGCAAATACACACAGGACTTCCTTCGATTCTACAAGCAATTGCTGATATAAGCACCTCTAAATAATAGAATTGAAGCTTAAAATCACCAGCTTTCTGGAAGTCTTTGTACACAATCAATCTGTACATTAAATACGTAGTTTAAATTTATATGAATAGCTCAAAAATAAAATGGTGGGGAAATGTGGAAATTATTTGTGATTCTTAGTCACACGATGAATTAACTGTAACCTTTCGACATTCCAGTCAACGAACTATTCAAGTTAATTTTAAAATAGAATGTAAATCCTGAAAATTCTCTAACTATACACTTACCACAAATGGGTATCAATAGCTTGAAAGCTAATTCCGGAAAGAACGAACTGAAATAGATTCTGATATTGAGGGGGGGGGCAATAATGACTCTCAAAGAAGAATCAGATTTTGATGCTGATTCAGAAGTGTCGGATATTGGATTTCATTTTATCGTTTGATTTCCTTAAAATAATTTTTGTTTTATTTCTGGTACTGAAAATTAAAGTTTATATCTTACGATAGAAGAACCTTATAACCAAAGAAATACGGGTTTATTTTTGTAATTAAATAATTAATAAACTTATGGAGATTGTATTATTTCTTAATGACTTAAATCTCATTCATAACACTTTCTCGAAAACAAATTATAAATACAGTGGTTCACATTTGTTTTCGGACACTTTTTTTTTTCAGCTTTATTTGTAAACACCAGTTACTAAACATTATCAAAATGAAAAAAAAGAAGGGAAAAAAAAAAAAGAAATACTTCTTTCACATTTGTTATTGATCATCTGTTTTAAAGCCTGCTTGTTTCGAAAAATGTTGTTCAAAATGTTTTTGGTAAAAAAAGTAATTTATTCAAAACGTGCTAAATATAAATTCACGTAACTATTCGGACACTTTGAATAAATCCGAAGAATATGAAATGTTCTAATAACTTCAGGACAGTTTTATAATAACCACAAGCAAACATTTAGAGCTATGTGTTTAGGATCCTTATCCTCATAGAACTTGAATGTATTTTGAATTCCAACGTTTTGTGCAGATGCTTTCAGATTTTCATTAGAAATATTTATTCTAATTAATTATACTAATCAGTATTACTTTCGGTAAACATTCAATTTCTTATACCAAAGGCAGGAAACATGTCCAAACCATTATACCTCCTTCCCGGGCGAAACATTAATACTTTAACATTCAAACATTATCGCATATTAATTCATCTGTCGGAACCAAATGTATTAAATTTTGCCTTTTCTGCAAATATAACATTGTTCCAACATGATAAAAACTTTGCTTTTGCAAACGCTAAGTGTATTTCTTTTTTTTTTTTTTCTTTTCTTTTTTTTTTTTTTTCTAATTCATGAAGAATTTTCTTCTTGTTGATCGCCAATTGTATCCATACGCAGTAAACGACTATTTTAAAAGCCTTCAAGAATAATTTTTAATGCAAGCTGTTCTTTTAAATCTGCTGAATGTTCTACAGCACTAATTTTTGGGCCTTGTTTGATTTTTTATAGAATAAATCTGGGATTCCTTGATGTTAGCTTGGAATAGGGTCTAAACTCTAGTGTATTTTCAACACAATTTCATGCAATTTCCATCTTTTGATTGAAAGATTTTTTGGCTATTTCGAATACTTTTTATCATGTTTAGAAAGTAATATTATTAAATTTTTTTGCAGAACTGGTCGTTAATTTGTAGCCATGTACACTTCAGATATAACTTGGCACAACTATAACTGTTAATATATTTTGCTAAACAAGTAAAAATTTCCAAATGTGAGTTATTATTCTTGTGATGTAAAAACGAAAGATTACAGAAAAGAAATACTGCCACTCAAAACATTTAAAAATAAATTTTGGAGTGTCCGAATTTTTTTGTGAATTACAGATTAACATTTATTGGACAATTTATTTTATTGCAAGGATTATTTTGATGATATTTATTTCACAACGACCAAGGCTTAAAGTAAATAAAAATAATATGTGAGAAAAAAGTTTTGAAGTCCGTGTTTTGGTATTTCGTAAAAGATCTTGCAAACATATTTCAAAAGTACAAGTGTCCGAAAACAAATGTGAGCGCTGTATCTCATTAAAACATGCAATGATTTCAGTATACGAGGAAAAAAATAACCTATTGAATTAAAAAAAATCTTCGAGATTATGATAAAGAAAATTGCTGATTGACTGCTGTAAAGTGTTTTATTTACCCACGGTATATACACTCGTGCTCGGAAAATAAGCAACAAACCCTAGAAGAAAAGGTACGAATGTAAAAAGAGGTATTAAAACATACAATTTACATATGAGGTCGAGGTTGCGTTGCCGAATGCAAATAGACAACGAAATTAGCATAAAACGGGTGCCTGCTGTCACACCACAACGCCTTAAAGGGACATATAGGAGCTATGGGTCAGCTCGCAAGTAGCGATAGTTCCGTATAATCCGAGACATCCAAAGGGGAACGCATGAGCCCGAAGACATCATTTGCACGATGAAATGCGTTGGAGGGCCATCAGGGGTTGCAAGCTGGTTCACTGTTGCTAGAGTGCTGAATGTGCGTCGTAGTGTCATCAATAGGCTGCAGAATCGTTACCAGAGGGTTCGAAACCCTTATAGAAGAACTGGGCCTCGGCGCCGGAAGATTACCACAACGGCAGACGACCGATTCCTATTGCTATGTGTAAGACGCCGTAGATCACTAACATCACGACAGCTGGCCTCGCGACTCTCTGCTGCTGCCCATATCCCGCCAAGTTGTGTCGCGTCAATTACATGAAGGTGGACTGTAGGCCCGACGACCTATAGTTTATGTTCCTTTGTCCCCATTACATGTCACAGTGTGTTTGAACTGAACCCGTGAACATCGCAGTTGGACAGCAGAGTAGTGGAGCCACGTACTCTTCACGGATAAATCTCGATTAAACATCCAGAGAGATTCCCGAAGAGCAATGGTATGACGAGAGCCAGGGACTCGCCGTCGGGGGCCAAACATACTCGAAAGAGGCTATTACAGAAAAGGACGCTTACTTGTATGGGCTGAAATACCAACAAACGGCCGCACCGACCTCTGTGTGATTCCTGGTGTTTCCTTCACAGCCATCCGATATCGCGAAGAAATTGTACACCCTCTTGTGTACCTTTTATTGCTATGATGGATACCAACACGATATTTATGGAGAATAACGCCCACTCTCATAGAGCTGGAGTGGCGCGAAGTTATCTGGAGAGTGAAACCATTCAATATCTGCAGTGACCTGGTAGATCAACGGACCTGAATCCATTGCACATTCTTCCGACCCATTTGGTCTTTCGCGACGTGAAGGTCCTAACACACGTGTGTTTGTACGTCTTTGCTTTATTGTTTGCTATGTGGTCTAGTAATGCCAAACCAAACTCTTGGATCAAATTTTATGTATTATATAGTTTTTGTCTTAATCCGTGTTTCGATTTTTGAGCAGGATTGTAGAGTAGTTTGAAGCAATCATGTGTAAGTTCTGAATATACTAACACAGAATACAGGTAACAGGCGGTATTGAATGAGAAGATTGCTGAGTCTTACTAAACGATCTAGCTTTGATGAAATTCCTACTTCTGTATTAGTTCTTAATATGAACAATGTTTGCTTATTAACAGTGAAATAACTGCATATTTGTTTCCATTAGAAATATGAGAAATATTATAAAAGCTCTGTGTTATGAAAGAAATTTTGTCTTTTCTTGAAAACTAAATTATACTTTAACAAAATTTTATATTCTACTTTGTCTAAGATATTTTATCATCTTTTTTAATTCACAGATTTCAAAACTGCAGCAGATATTCGTTATAAACTCTTTGTCGAACACACCCTCTTTAAAAATCAATCATCCTTTCATGACTAAAGATAGTAACTAATCTTCCTACTTGAGCTACTACATGAGTCTACTTCCAGCTACTACATGAGCAATGCTAAAAAAGCAATGCTCTCCGAAGTTCGGGTAGACATGTAGGAGGAGATTGACGGGCTGCAACTCGTCGGCCAAGCATGTCCCACACGTGCTCTACTGGATTCAAGTCCGGTGAGAATGCTGGCCAGTCCATACGGGTGATATCCTCCGATTGAAGGCATTCGCTTACGATGTTTGCACGGTGAGGACGGGCGTTGTCATCCATAAACACAAATTGTGCGCCCATGGCGCCCCGAAACAAACGTACATGTTGTTCCAGAATGACGTCCCGATAGATTTGGCTTGTCATGGTTCCAATTTGAACATGCAGGTCAGTTCTGGAACCCAGAATAATTCCACCCCAAACGAGCACTCCTGCACCACCGTAACGGTGTCGTTCAATGATGTTTTCTTGGTGGTAACGGGTACCTGGAGCTCTCCATATGAAAGTCCGGCGAGAATCAGACTGCAAGCTAAACCTGGACTCGTCGGAAAACATCACACAAGCCCACTGTTGCGGTGTCCACAATGCATGCTCTCTACTCCAGGCTAACCGCAGGCGACAGTGAATTTCAGTAAGTGAAACGCATTTGACAGGTCTACAAGCATATAGACCCATCTGCCCTAAGCGTCTGTACACGGTCTGCCTTGAAATTGTCGTACCAGTGGCTGAAGAGAGCTGACGAGACAGGTCTGAGGCTGTGCTCCGCCTGTTTCTTTTGGCAGTAACTGCCAAATACCGGTCCTCATTCGGCGTTGTAACTCTGGGGCGACCTGTGCTGTAACGTCTACTCACATTACCATCATCTTGGAATCGTTGCCAAAGCCTGGAGATGACACTCTGGGCAATTCCAAGTTCGTCTGATACTTCCAGTTGGGTACGCCCACATTCCAGACGGCCGATAATTCTACCACGTAAAAAATCATCCAAATGCTTCCTTTGTGTCATAACTATTCGGTTATTGCACTGAAATGCTTATAAAGCGCCTGCGAACAATTTTACTTCTTTGCCTGTATTCCTTATATATCACTCTCTTACACTCTCGTCATTGTGGCGTACCATCGGTGTCATCTGATTACTTCCTGAAATTTGCATATGATTCTTGAAGATGTGTGTAGTGATTTTACAGGTGATATATTTATTTTAGAGTTCGATTTCCGCGTGACTCCGAATTATCCTTAATTTATGGACATGAGTGTAATTATACAAAGACTTTCCTAATGGAAACTGTTTTGTTTTTGTAGTATTCTTGCGTGGGGAAAGAAGAGACTACAAATCCATTCATGCGGCCGAAATCGGTTATCTGCCATGAATTGAATTTGGGACAATTTACCATTTTTAATAAATAATCTTCGATTATTGGTTTTGGCCACAATTCGTGGTAGGACATCAACACATTATGATAAGTTATGCTACTTATTCCTTTATTGCCTTGAGATGTATTTTTAAGGATATTTTTGCAACATTGGAGTTAAAATGTAAAGAAAAATCATCTTACCCACAATTGCAATTAAGTAGAGTTGAAACGGACTAAGGGAAGATAAAGTGACTTGTGCTTTGTGCCAACTGGTCCCTGAAGATCCGGACATTTCCCAAACTGTCTTATCACTTTCGTCTTCATTTTTAAGCATCAGTCGCAGAGTACCAACTCCGTTTCCAAACATATGCGTAGCAAACTGCATACACAGAGGATTATTGTCACCTGTAGGGAGAAAACTGGGACTTCGAAGCATAGCAGTGTCTCCAGGTCGTCGAGGGTAAGCCGTATTGATGAAAGCAAAACCTTGAAATAATGATATTTATCTTTAAGAATCTATGAAATATTTCGTATTTATAAGGGAAGGAAAGAACTCAAGTATATAAAGTGAATAATGTCGCATTAGGGTGTATTTTGAATTTTGAGAGGACGAGTTAAATGGATTATGTTTGCTTATAAGATATGTCTCCCACCTTCTTGGCATGCCTTCGTGGTGTGGTGGTCTGCACGCTCAGAGCGTAATTGAGAGGTCCGTGGTTCGATTTCCGGCGAAGGCGTTTGCTCATTTTTCATGTCTCCGGCCTCGAATAACCTAATGTCTCTAAAGTGACACCCGAATTAAAAGGGTGTTGGATGATGATTTTCCTCACCCAGGATTTGGCGATTGGATCCCCTAAAAACCCCAGTCGCCCTTTCAAAGGTTGAGTATATAAGGTATTTCTCTCGCCTTCTTGGAATGCCTTCGTGGTGTGGTGGTCAGCAAACTCGGCGCGTATTCGAGAAATGCGTGGTTCGATTCCCAGCGAAGGTATTGCTCATTTTTTCATGTCTTTCATGTATGTATTTCTATTGATGTAAGAATACGAGGTATTTCTCCCGCCTTCTTAGCGTGGCTTCGTGGTGTAGTGCTCTGCACGCTCAGCGCGTAACTGAGAGGTCCGTGGTTCGATTCCCGGCGAAGGCGTTCCATATTTTTCATCTTTCCTGCTTTCAAAAAAATATCTAATGTCTCTACATGCTTATCAATTTAAAAACTGTGTAATTAAGCGAAACCAAGGGACTAGAAAATTATACTTATTATTTACAAATAAAATAAATTTGTTTATAAAAAACTGACAAATTTTAAATTCCCTTGAAATTATTTCTTTTACTTCAGATGTGAAAATTTGCAAAAAATTTTCAAATTCTTGCCACGAAATATTATCGCCCAGTATTATTTTTAAAGAAATTAAATAATGAAGAATCTGCATGAATGTATACATGTGTTTGGCACTGCCAAAAAATGACGGTACCTAGAGGCATTAAGTTTTGAATAACGTAGTCCTCCACATGAACATGGGCACCTGGAAGCCCTAATTTTGAATTTCGAATTAGTTTTATTATCTATTTCATATTTTGGAAAACTTTAATGAATTTTTGACTAAGAAATTTAACGATTTCAAAGTGAGTTGGGCAGTATTGTAATGAATAAAACATTTTTATCTCCAGCGAGCGAGACAGTCTATCGGAAATTCTAACTGTTTATATACTGTTTTTAAATACTTTGTGATATTTTGGTTAAATCTCATTTCATGTGGTGTAAGCGCCGAGAACGTGATATTTGATAGATTACGTAAACACACAAAACATTAATAATTAAAAGACAAAAAAATTTGTTAAAGACATCTTAGTAAGAAAACTGAACATTGATATGATAAACTGAGAAAAGACTGGGGGTGGGGAAAACAGAAAAATGTATGCCAATCCTTAACGCCACATCGAGAAATCTAAATATATACTACTATAGTGTTTTTAGAATTTTTTGTAATTTTACTGTTGAATTGTATATATGGCGTAAGTGCTAAGAAAATGATGCTTAATAATAAAACTAAAAAGAGAAAAAAATGGGTTATCAGGAGTGAGTGTAACAACAGATTGGTAGACTATGAACTCTAGCGCGAGCATAAAAAACATTAACAAACCGTTTTTAACGATTTTTAAAACATGAAACTTTTCAGATTTTTTTCTTCGTATTTTGGCAGTACTTTAAAACAGAGCACAAAACATCAATATTTGAACTCTAAGTTGCCAACCTCGTATTAAAAGAAACTATTTCAAACATTATTCTTTCTTTTGCAACAGGAATTGGGCAGTAACTCTTAACGCATTCATTAAATTCATAATGAATGAATTCATAATCACTCTGTCCTCATATGCCATGAGCAACAAAATTCTTGTTTTAAAACAAATCTAAACGCTCTTCGAAAACCATAAGAAACATTAGAGATTATTGTTACTCATATTTTTCACTTGCGTCGGTAATTAAAGCTTGCCTTTTTAGTGAATTTCCAAGTTTCAAAGGTTGTACTGAAAACATCCTACTTCCATGTGTGTCATATGACTCATTATAGGCTAGATCTAAGCATTACATACAAATAACAGAAGATAGTTCTTGCACCATTTCTTAAATATGCTTCCTTCTAGTTAATATGACTTCAAAAATAAAGGAAACCGTTTCTGAAACTAAAATCAGCTCTTGTAATTTTCAAGTTAACAATACAATTATTAAAATACAATGTATTTTATTTGTAAAATTACAGAATAAAGCATCAGAACTATAAACATGATCTTACATTTTATTTCTTATTTAGCTATTTGTTTTATTAAAAATTACGTAATTTAAAAAAGTGAAAATTTCACTCATCAAGAAATATTGGAAATCTGTATGTCCTATCTGCCGTGACGCTGAAGTTCACAACATAGTGACAGATGTTTATGTTGTTGTTACTTATGTTCACTTGTCTGACGTAGTCAGCCCAAGTCCTCGATATTCCTTGTGGCAAGGAACGCAAGTTACGCCTGTCGTTGACAACAGCCTTGAGCACCATACAGGTGACAGTGCGATTTAGCTCAGTTCCGCCCCCAATTTTAATGGACAGCACCCCAAAGCATGGAGGTAGGAAGTAAGCCTTTCCTACCTCCATGCCCCAAAGGGACGGGTCCGAGGGTCCCCACCCCTCTTCCATTCCACCAATCCGCACGATAGGACTTTCGGCTCGCGGTATACTTAGAGTGTCGCCATGCCGTACCGACACCATAGATTTACAAACACCCATGCCTTCTCTGGGATTCGAATCCGTGCTCTCCTGCACGGCAGTCAGCTACGCTAACCATTATACCGGTTGGGGGCACAGATGTTTATAAAGGCGAGAATGAAAATGTGCCCAGAGCTGACTTTGTTTAAGTTAAGGCATAATTTACGCGCTCTTTGAAATTTAGTTGTTCAACTAAAACAACACTTAAGGATTTAATGGAATGTACAACTGGGAGAGTTTGATTATTAATCTCGAGGTTCACATTCACACGTTGGTTCTTCTTGTAACATGCAAACAGGATGACGCTGTATTTATCGGCATTAAGTTTAAACTTCCATAAGTCACACCGATGTGCAACTATATTCATATTGAATTTTAAATTAAAATTACTTATCTGAACGTGATTGATTTCGTCATAACAGCCGTATCATCTACATATTTGACAACTTGAGTTGAAGCTATTGAGTGCTTCCGGTAAATCATTTAAATAAATGTTGAAAAGACACGGCGCTAAGACCAAACCTTGCGGAACTCCTGAATGAATAATTCTTTTATTTTGGCTACTTTTATTTGAAAAGTTCGATATTTCAGGTATGACTTAAATATTTTTACCATTGTAATTGATAAGTGTATTTAAAGGTGGTGTTTGGTGTATTTAATTATGGCAAAGCACACTAGAGCTATCTGACTAAGGGGAGGGATGCCTTCGTGGAGGACTTTCTAAGGAAAACTGGCTCGTATACACGTTACGCACGGGGAAAACCCCGAAAACGCCCATGCAGTCAGCCCGTTCGCGGAATTCGAACCTCGTATCGAACTACCAGTGTTCAGCGACTTTAACACTCGGCCGCTGGTGGGCCAGTTTATTTAAAGGAGACCTTCAAGTTACATATTGGCGAAGATCTTTTCCACATCAGAAAAGCATTAATTTACTGCAACAAACGTGTACTTGATTCTAAACTAATAAGTGGACTGTATAGCAAAAGAACTAACTAATTTATTTACAGTAATTAACTATTCAGATCTAATACATGCTCTGGCATGTTGCTTAGCCGAATCCAGATGGCCAAGTGAGAGTTTCTCTCCCTATCCAATAGGTGGCGCTATATTCTAACTTAACATGCCGCCGCCCGTTGAAATTACAAATTTCAACATGTAAATTACAAACAAACATACAATTTAACAAATTCAAGAACAAACTAATTCTACAATACAATATGAAAACTAATAGATAAATCTTTCATCATGAATATAATATAAAATAATGTAACATTTTAAGAACATAAACATTCACTATGCTACAATCGAACTTATTCTTTAAACAATTCCATTTTAATGTAAAACACAATTTTCAATAAGAATATAATAATGTAAACTAAGCATTATTATCCTGGATAGGTAATAAACAAATTTTACTAATACATCGAATATACACACCATTTGATGTTTTCACTTTAACAACTCTGACCTTATTATCTTTACCAGGTAAAACTTCTAGAATTCTTGCTAAAGACCATTTAAATGGCGGAAGATTATCTTCCTTTAACACAACGAACATACCTGCCTTTAAATTTTCTTTATTAATAAACCATTTGGTGCGTTGTTGTAGATGATTTAAATAATCAGTTTGCCAACGTTTCCAAATAACTTGAATGAACTTGGTAATAACTTTCCATTTAGACAGTCTATTATCTGTAAGATGAGACAAATCTGGTTCAGGATATGAAGTAATGGAACGTCCAATTAAGAAATGACCCGGCGTTAAGGCTTCAAAGTCATTTGCATCTGTTGATAAGGGTAAAATTGGACGAGAATTGAGAATACCTTCAATCTGTGTGACAACAGTCCAAAATTCTTCTAAAGTTAATTTATAACTGCTGATTGTACGTTGAAGATGATATTTAAATGACTTAATACCAGCTTCCCATAAACCACCAAAATTTGGCGCTCTAGGTGGAATTAGTTTCCAATTTATACCTTCAGATGTTAAGAAATCTGCTATATCAGAATTAGATTTAAGGACTAAACTATGCAATTTTTTTCAGTTCTGATTTTGCACCAACCATATTAGTACCGTTATCTGACATTATGGTATTACATTTTCCACGTCTAGCAATAAATCTTTTAATAGTAGCAAGTAATGAATCTGTGGTTAAATCAGTTACTACCTCTAAATGTATTGCTTTAGTAGCTAAACAAATGAATATAGCAACGTACACCTTTGCATAATTA